ATATAGTATATATATATATATTATATATATATATATATGTATATATATATATGTATATATATATAATATATATATATATAATATATATATATATAATATATATATATATATATATATATATCCCTCTATGTTGCGGTCCACGATCTCACTTTTTTGCCATCAGTATGATATAGATGCACATCTTATTATAGAGGTCACTTACAACCCTGTATGTATTTGGAAGCTTACTCCTTCAGATGTGCTGATAATTATGTACGTATGCTACCTCCGTCAACATGTAGTCCTTACACTATCTGCAAATTCAAAGACACACTATCATCACATATACAGATCCACACTCAAGTTGTCTCGTCCCAATCTCTAATCGTGAGTAGCGAACATGTCGCACCTTTAACAAAAAGCCCAACACGCAACTCACCGATCAAAGTGGTGACAGCCAGATATGTTTCGAATGTCTTCGTGCATGGCTGGCTGCAGATTGATCATTGAATCTTTCAGACCCGGCGGAAGCTCGAGTTAGCGAGCCACTTCGTGTTTGTCTCCATGCGTTCGAGACTCTCGTACTCAACTGCATATTCTTGGTGGAAGGTAATCATAGAAATAGATACTTACCTTGGCTACTAAATGACACTTCGCAGGAGGAGAAGCATGAGCTGTTACAGTACAAACAGATACTCGACGCAGAAAGTGAGGTTTCTGATCAGTTGAGGTTTGCCAAGGCCGAAAAACACACCGTTGATTCATGGAGTTTGGCCTCTACTAACAAGTATGTTTACACTCATTTGTGATTGAAAATGTTTTCGCTATTTTGTATCTTGCCATACCCCATGTTATATACTATATCCTGAGCAAGTAGTTCGTTAGGCATCTGAGATGGGCACCCCCATAGTTGCATATATAATCAAATTTACTATTGTATGATGTGGTTGAACTTCACGCTCATACATACATGATCAAGATGGCGTAGCTGTGGCGATGGCCAAGCCCGCAGTTTTGACCACTCTCTGAGCACTCATAAAATCCAATCAAGCTGCCATTCTCATTGCTCTACCAGATAGTAAGTTCATAACAGCGACCTCTTTACTTTAAGCTACCATCTTTTCAGACCTCCACTGACATCTTTGTTACCCCAGGCCATTGCATCAACTAGCCATCTGTTCGGAATATCGAGTATTAGAGACGTCCCTCTTTCTCTCTGCGCTTCTCTCTCTTCATTCGCCATCTCTCACTGTATTACGCCATTCACCCCAGAACAACCCACGTTCCTTCTTATGCGCTCATCCTCTCCTTAATCCATCACATTAGCCTACTATTTCCCACTAGTTCAAAAAGAACAAATATATTGGGGCTTCCGCTCCAAATTGCGCCGGTATATTATTTTGCTGCCACCGGCCCCTTACCTCTGAAGTGCATTCCTTGAGCTCCCGGACAATTATTCTCCGCAATTCCTTAATTTAAATGTGTGCCGCACTCACAGCCACGATTGGGAATGTTCCGATCCGAAATTTCATTGGGATGAGGACGTCAAAAACGCTTTCCCGAATATTTTTAGTATCAAAGGTCCGAGAATGATGCAGAGGTCCGCCATCAATGCCACCATGTCACTGGAAGATGTCTTTCTTATCATGCCAACCGTATGTTGTTTACTTCCCTTTACCCCGAATAGGAATAGGTGGATGTTTTATCATGACGGATACGCATACAACCATTCTGTGCCGTAATGGACAACACATAGCCATGCCGTAACTACATAGCTTAGTAGGAAAATTGGCTGACATCGCAAAGCATCAGGTTCTGATTGAAAATCACTAACATTGTTTCATCCGTAGGGATATACTGTAATGGTAACCACATGCTATGTGGGTCATCACTGCATCTGTAAACTCTTCCTTGCAAACATATTGGCAAACTTTTGTACAACCTGAACATATGCTGATCTGCAGGTATATGTATTGATCATGCCTGTACATAACCTCTCCAGTATTCATTACTCTTAAACAAATGAATATTGCGTGGTACATATACCCTCATCAAATGGCAATTATCCAACCAATATAGCAGAATGTGATACTGTGTTACCCTGATCGTCGATATAAAATACATAGCTCGTGCTTCAGTCTATTGTATTATCTATTTTTGCAATGTGTATCGAACCTCGATTTTGCACACACGCACTTCACTGGGTCAGTGTCTAGTCTCCCAAGTGTCTGCAGCTCTAGACGAATCGAATGGTGGAAAAACGACGATTGCGGTTTTGTCTTGATCATCTCTTATATCCCACTGTATGATCTTTAAGGGTGTATTATAAATCTAAATTCTGCATATGCTCATATATATTCAGGGAGCGGGTAAAAGTCTGGTCTACCAATTGCCTGCAGCGCTCGACGGAGTGAATGGCGACGGATTAACGCTGGTGGTGTCACCGTTGTTGTCTCTCATAGAGGACCAAGTGTACCAGATGCGGCAAATAAATGTGGCCGCGGCAGGGCTTTCCTCAATCTCGAGCAAGGAAGAAATATCTCACACGTATGCTGATATGGATGCTCTGATGTTGCCAAATAAGGGTGTGTTAGCATCCGCTTGTCTGATACGTGTTCAATTAACACAGCATGACTTTTCCGTATTTGCACATACCTGCCCATTTTGAAGGTTAAAACTTTTCACGTATCATTGGACCTATTTACTCAGCAATGCAAAACTGCTAATCGACTGCTTCCTGAAATGTTCAACTTGTCTGTGTACTCAAGCCTCTGGTATCTGCTGATCTGCTGCACTATGATACCTAGCGAAATACCAGCTACACCCATGTAGTCAATCCCTCTTCAACACATCTGGCTCTCAGCTGCTAGGTTGTAACGGATATATGTTGCTATTACTGATGCTAATAAGCGCTGAGGTCACTATATTCTATGCAATGCATGCCTGTATTTTCATATCTACCATCGTGCACTCTTGTATCTACAACATACACCTATTTAACTACCTGTTGTGTTCTCACACCTATGTACCTGCAGGCAAGGCTTCTGATGAGGGTACCGACCATTCGAGGGCTTCGCTGTGTATGCTGTACGTCACACCGGAGCGTATAGCGAAAAGCAAGCGCTTGCTGAATAAGCTGGAAAAATTGCACGCCGCAGGTACGTTATCAACTGACCTCAGAATTTACCTACGCTTTGAAGTACTCGTAAAAGCGTTTAATATATTATAGTTTACCCAATATCTTTCTCAGCCGTATACACAAATTGCAGAAGTGAGATCCTTATTATCAGCGCAATGGAGCACAACATCTCTATATGCATTAAGCGTAGAGTACCC